TTATATTTTTATATATAGAGATAACCCTATATTACTCCTGTTATGGTTTATATTCCTCACATTTTGGTATGATAAAGGGAGCATTAAAATTAACAAGGCAAAACGTCATCAGTCACCCTGATCAATTTTGCACTCACATCACAATCAGTCCCTCATTTATAGAATGTTCACTTTGTCTGGTTTTGTTGCAGCATGCCCCATATATGGGTCTTCGTAATACCAGACATATCTTAAAACGATCCAGTTTTCTTCACATAATTCTTTCTTGAGTTGATCCCGTTCTTGCTGGTTAATGAAATTTTTTGGGTCTCTATGAAAGAATTCGATATATTTCTCATGCTGTTGCCCTTGTACTTCGATTGGATTGCAAAACCGTATTCCGGGTAATAAATATCAAGTTCTAATCCTCTTGATTTTGTGTGTCCTTTATTAAGCACAGCTAAGGTGGACCTCTAGAGCTGTTTTTATCACATCAATTCTAATCCTTTTGAATGCTCTGATATTTTAAGAAAATCAGGTCGGCGTATCTTAGATGGCGATCCAAGATATTTTGATATAATTTCACGACATAAATTTTCACGCACTGCAATAGGGACACCAACGCTTAGATTATTACGTTACTGTATGATGCATTTGTCGAGGCAAATGTCACGGGAGAGCGAAATGACACGTGACTCGTAAGAATTTAACTTTCTTCGCACGGAGCATAGCGCCTCCTACTAAGAGTTTAACCAGACTGACAGTTAGGTGACCTTTCGTTTAGGCTTTTACACTGACGGCACTTCCGTTTACCGGATCGTGACACTAAATCCTAGATAGATAATTGCTCTTAAAGGCCCGTAAATAAACTGTAAGTTACAAAAAAAATTCGAGTCACTAAATTAAAAACAAATCTTGAAAGCTCTCCGTGGCCACACTTGTAATTGTTTTTCGTGAGGGTGCTTAGTAGTGTGTATCCGAAGGGACGCTGCCACTAGGTGTAAATCGTAGTTTTCGAAGCATGCGGAGTGCAAATAAAAAATAAAAAAAAAAGTAATAGTAAACATCATAAACGAACTCGAGCAAAGAAATAAAAACCTATTAGTATTAGAAGAAAACGTAAAGTTAAAGAAGGAATTAGCCTATAAAGAAGAAAACTTCAAACTAAGAATTTGGAATACTGTTCAAAGTCTTAAGCAAAGTGGAGAATATAAATACGAAAGTTTAAGAACCTTAGAAAATTTTATTTGACCTGAAAAAGGCTGAGTAAGTTATCAGGAAGAGAATGGGAAAGAAAAGCTGTTTTCAGTGATGAATTTACTCCTGAAAATATTATTAAAAGTCTTGCTGATGAAGCATGAAATTATGAGTATGGTTTTAATTTTCTTTCTCCAAAGTGTAAAGAACTTGAAGAAAGGAATGCTGAGTTAGAACCAAAGGTTGTAGAATTAGAAACCAAGCAAAAAGAGTTAGAAACTAAGCAAAAGGAATTAATTCAGAGTAGAAGAATTAGAAGATGAAGTGGAAATGGAGCGAGAAGAAGCTGAAAAGGCCTTAGAAGTAAGTAGATTAAAAAGATGAGAACCCAAAGTTAGTTTGTTTACAGAGACTATCAAAGCAAAGAAGATGATTTGGACAAAGCTTCTGCAAGGATAAAATTACTAAAAATTTTATGGCATGACAAAACTATGTGGCATGTAAACAACTTCAAGAATTACCAGTTTTACAAAAAAAAAACTAATAAGTTTAAACTGTTGGGTAGTAAAATAAAAAGTAAAGTGAACCAAACTAGGGAAATAGTTAAGGAGAAATTTAATGCTTATATCTTACAAAAGAGCAAGTAACATGAAATTAGAATATCAGATCAGTCAGTTGGGAAGAGGAGACAGCTGGCACTGTAATAAAAACTCAACCACTCATGAAATGGTAGCCTACAATACCAAAACTAGTGGCTATAATGATATGCCTATATTTGTGTTGAATGTAAAGGAGATATTGATAATGGCACCTTGCCACATTGTAATGATTGTGAGCTATGAGAAACAGGGTAAATTGCTTTTGTAATTTAAGAAAAAATAAACTAGTTAAAACCCTTTCAGCAGCTAAGATAATGGGGCAAAGTTATGTTGGTAGATTGGAGCAGCAAAACAAGGATTTAAAACAGCAATTAGACAGTGCCAAGGAAGAAATTAGGATGCCTTGGATGTTTCAAAGGACTGGCATGATAAGCAAAGGCAAGAATTGTTAGATAAAATTCAAAGACTTGAAAGTGAGGTTGAATTTTTAAGAAAACAACAAATCCAACACATTGCTCAAATTGAGGTTAAAGAAAATAAGAGATGACCTTGATCAAAGTTAAGGAAGTAATTTAAATATTGGTAAATTTAATTAATGATCTTTTTTTTATCTCAAGAATTTTGGTATCATTGATTTTAAAACGTAAGGCGCAATTTTTTCACCTTGTTCTTTTTTAAAATACTTCTAATGATGCTGTAATTCTTTGGTTCCATGGTGGATTTAATGTAAATTAATTTTATATTAATATTTTTTATATAGAGATAATCCTATATTAATCCTGTTATGGTTTATATTCATCATTCAACTTAACAAATCCATAAGTTATGAATGAGTACCATTATTACTTTTCAAAATGTCATCAGTCGCACTGGTCAATTTTACAGCCACATCATAATCAGCCTCTCATTATGTCACATAATCAAATGTTTGCTTTGTCTGGTTTTGTTGCAGCATGCCCCATATGATGTTCTGCTCGATAAAATGCTTACCAATTATGGTGATGATTTACGAACTTCGTTATATCGAGATCATTTATTTATATAAGCACAACAACATCATTATAACGTTATATCGCAAGATTATAAGTATATCGAGTCCAATTTTATTATAACTGGGCTGAGCCGGGGGAAAAGCATCATATTAGCCAATATCATATTGTCGAGGGGTCATTATATCGAGAGCCACTGTGTATTTCGCTAGATACAGTCAACCCTCCATATAAGCACGCCCTCGGGAATGGGGCAGAGCATGTTTGAATAGAGGGATTAGGATGCTTGAATAGAGGTTTAGAATTTGATTGGTTGCACGTAATTCATTAACAGATATTTATTAGCTATTATTGAAAAACTTGTCTATTGTCATTTGTTTCATTACATTCATTGATTTTAAACTAATGTAACGATCTAGTACATTAATATGTTTCAACAGGTCTTTAGAATCTTCTTGCTGTTGCAGAAAGGAGCGAATAACCTCCAAGCTGCTTGCAGCATCGCTGCAGTTTACAATCAGTAGCTCAATGCTATCATCAACATCACTATTGTCAACGTTGACCATTAAACAAGGGAGTTTTACATTTTAAATAAAATTCAGTTATTCTTTATTCACATTGATGCCGTGCGCTATTAAACGATAACGCGCTATTACAAAGTCGATATAACGATTTCGTTAATTCAATATCTATTTTAATGACGATAAAGATTAACTTCTACTATTAACAAAGACATTAAATAATTTTTCTATTTATTTCTGTTTCTCTGTCACGAACAGTTCCTTATTCCTACATAAAGGCGAAAGGGTAGAATAACGTCTACAATCATGCTTCATAAAGAAATCCGTTAATAATATTATAATATCTATTACTATAAGGCGCTTCTTTGTATGGACTGATCATCATTATTTTGACCATTTCAAACCTTTATGTAACCTGGTATGTTGTGCAAATCACATGAAAATCACGGGCGTGCATATCCGAGGAAACGAAAAAACCGTGCAAATGCTAATTCCCAATCTCGGGAATAAGGCATGGTGTGCTTATGTGGAGGGTGTGCTTATATGGAGGGTATGCTTATATGGAGGGTGTGCTTATATGGAGGGTTGACTGTAATCAACACAAGATGTGATTTGGCATACAGATAACATTGTTCGTAAAAGTTTCGTCATAGCATGATGCGAAAAATTATTCCGCTTCGTGTCCCACAACTTGCAGCGAATTGTCTCGATAAACCTTTAAATTAGATTATATATATTTATGACATCAATATCTGCAGACAATCGATTACAATGTTATAGAACAGTATAGAAGATTCTCAACAATAAACGCTGTTGATAGCTCGATCAATTATATCACGTGTTTCCAGACAAATCACCCGCGGCGGGCATCACACATTTTTCTCAGTCGAGAAGAAAAAGTCTTTTAATAAAACGGCTTTGTTTTAAAGCAAACATTTATTATTTTTAAAAAACAAATATATTTTTTATAAACATGGTTGAATTCACCATTATTGAATTCACCATTAAAATTTTGCGTGCACCGACTTTTCCTTGACGAAAATGGATGTTCAGGTAGAGTGCCCCCCCCATCGATGCAGAAATATTGCTATTTGTTACGGCCTACGTCAATGGATGCGGCCAGGAGACAAACTGCCGTTTCTGGAGTTTGAACCCTCAGATAAGACCTGGACTTTATCTGGCGCGACTTCGTCTATTTTGCAGGAAATAACATATATCGAAACGGTGGAAGACTTCTTCCGTGGCGCTCCGGATTTGGGTTGGCCTGATTATCTTAGTTATTTGGATAAGCAACAAAAATTACTGGAGCAACACAACGAACCGGACCGCATCCAAAGCCGTCGTGCACGGGAACTACCGGCGAGTATTTGCATCCAACGTCGCGTAAGTTCAATGGAAATCTCACTACGTGCTCTCTGAAAGTGAAGACCACTCCACGGGCGAGGGAACAAGTAATTGCATGTGCCATCCAGTCCCACCTTTCAGAGTTTAAACCGTTTTCAGATGCTTCTTTTTCAGTGCAAGAAAAGGTTTTTGGCCCTGGAATCTGAAAGACAGATGAGAGTCATTGTCTAAAGTCTGGCAAATTATGGACAACAATTTTAGTAGTAATAACAAGCTGCTGCTCCTGTGCCTCCAATATTGTTACCATTCAAATCCAAAGAAGTCAGAGAAGAATTTGATTCTAGAGCCTGCTGCTCCTGTGCTGTCCAAACTCTACTTGATTCACAATGAGAGCTGGCTGCATTTTCTGACTTGGCAGATACCCAGCATGCAAATTGCTCAAGCTTTGCTGCTGGTACCAGATGGTACAAACAGGCAGAACATTTCTCAGAAGCACAGAAGGGAGGTGCATGTCAGGTTGATCAATTTTCCAATTTTAATTTGCAAGGGATCTGTGTTAAGAATGCATGACCCACATACACAGGCATCATAATCACCAACTCCTCTTCCCCATTATCTGACTCTGAAATTGTCCTGAAACACCTTTACTTTAGCTCATGCAATTGCAAATCAGTGACGTATTCCTCCGACGATGCCGCAGCAATCATTCCGATCGGCAATAACACCAGCGAGCGCAGCTGTATTAGGGTACAAACATTTCGGAGTACGAAATTGATAATATATGTGTAATCGACAGTGCTGTATAGCAGCACTGCAAAAGTCGAAAATGTATACTGAAAACAATCGATAGAATGTTAGAAATAGATGCTAAAAATAGCTCAATTAGTCCGATCGAAAAGTATGTAAGCGGCGCAGTGTGAATTTGATTCCTAATATTCCTTTTATTCATATATTATTGTTAATAAACAAATATCGCATTTACTCTAAATTAGTTGATATAATTGAGAAACCGTTAAATCCGTATATCAACGAAGGGTAATTGCCTTCTTGTCCCGCAATTATCTGAGTGGCAAGTTAAGATATTTAACCGTTATTTTAGAAACGCGTTTACTATATTTCATATACGGGAGATTATCGAATTTATCCCACGATAATAATACTCTGTTTTTTCTCTTCCTCAACTTTTGAAGATAGCATTCAATCACTCAAAGCATCATTAACTTTCATCTAGTAATTTCTTATTTTGGTCCGTTATGTCAATAATTATGGGTAGTCAAAACGCTTTTTATTTTGTCAGTGGTTCGCGTGTCATGTTAAGGACGTCGAATTCTAATCAGTAAAAGTGAATAAATTATAAATACGCGTCTGTTGTTTAGATTATCATAACACGCTAGGAAATTGGCTCGTACTGCATTTCAACTGTTGCAAGTCTTTGTCAACTCTTTTCTTCTCACGTCTAAATCCTTGACTGTCTGAGAAAGAGTGTGTCGAAATAATGAATACTTTGATTTTATATGATCGATTTGTTCGCGAGTACACTCATAATTAGACTGTTGCCGTCTAACAAGTATTTCAAAAATTTAATGCGTTCGCTGAATATTGAGGGAGTTTGATCTCTGCCACTAAGTATGCTGGTAAGTTGGTTGAGCGTTGATTGTAGAATTGCATGGAATCCAAAATCATATCAATCGTAATCCGCAACTTTTCTCAAGCGACACCATTATTAAATAGCGACAATATAAGCAGTCTTACCAGATTCTCGATTTTAGCATTTTTTTCCCCCCAGTAATCTCGTCTTGCCATTTATTCACGGCATTCACAATTATGTCGAATTCATTAATTTTATCATCGGTTCGAATGTTGTTGCTTATTTGTTCAGCCGTTGGTTTTTCGACGTCAACTTTATTTGTGTAATAGAATGTGGTGTATTGAGATTTTTGGGATTACATGCTGTTACAACACCCGCTTTTTGCTGCTGATGAGCAGTTGGAGAGAACAATCTTTAGGTAATTTGGCAAACTTGGGGCAAAGTATCTACATTATCAAACGATTCTTGTCTAGCATTGCTAGAAGCATCACAGTTGACGTTTAGGCCAAACATCACATTTGTATAGACATACTGCTTTTCGTTTCTAAAGAAATCGCCTTTCGCTTACGAATATCAGTTTTGGCATTTTGGTATGAATTATTATTATAATTTCTTTGAAGATAATCACAAAATTAAATAGGTACGTGATTCGAGACTTTGTAAATGCAACGAGACTATAAAAATAGGCAGATAGTGAGTATAACCGTAGGGACTATAAACAAGGGTGCCAATGAGTGCTTTTCGCCTTGTACAGTGGACTCTCCCTAAGTGCGGGACCATATGGCCAAATCAGACACGACCTGCATTAATAAAGAATCTGACATTTATAGAGAGTGAAATACTTAATGGTCTTATAAGCTCCATTTTAATTTAGGGAGGGAAATTATAGTGACTGCGGGAGTATATTACGCTACGCGCATTGGCCGATTGATCACGTGAATGCGAAAATTTGAGATACTTATTTGTCCCCCGCACTTTTTCCAACTGTAAACGAACGATGGCTACTGCTTCTACTTCTACTCCAACTCCAACAGGGACAGCTTCCATACCAATTCCATGGGAGGAAACTTTCCCAACTGGTAATGCCTCTCCAGCACGAAAAGAAGAGGAAACAAACGGAACTGGTCCTGGATTAGGAGGGGCAGCAGATCGGAGTGGGGGTTATAACAGACGGTATGGAGGACGTAACGGGTTTGGATACAACAGTGCTCAGAGAATGGTGTTTGATGGAAAGCGTATGAGAAAAGCAATACAACGACGTACTGTGGATTTTAATTGCTCGATCGGAAAATACATACAGGTAGAAAACGAGGAAGGCTTCTCAGATCACTAGTATTGAATTTAATTTCGCGTGGCTCTTTTTTATAATTGCATTTTTAAATTTCCCGCTTTTCTTGTAATGAGAAACACCGTAATTAACTCAATTTCACTATTTATTTACTTCTTATACCAGGAAAGGGTATGGAGTCGCGGTCATAACAATATGAGGTTCCTTCGGCCGAATCCTAATTTTGTAATTGATGTAAGTCTATCCATACAGATTTTCCCAGCGTTTAATTTTATGACTACCACAAAAAACCATGCTTATTTAAGATTATTATGATATTTTACTTTTATCTTGTATCAGCTTCTTCCGCCATCTGCTTACCTCCATAATCCTGTGAACGCAGTTGCGACTAAATTCGTACATACCTCTACCAATAAAAATCGATATCCCGTCAATGTTGTTCGAGTATGTTCTTTCCAGCAATAGTCATATGCATTATGTATTTCTTTTTTCTATCTGGTTACAGTTTCTAATATCCTTTTGGTGCTTTAGTGGACTCCAGAAGGAAGACGTCTGATCACTGGTTTGTCTAGCGGTGAATTCACATTGTGGAATGGACTAACATTTAATTTCGAGACAATATTACAGGTATTCGATTTAATGCCTTTATTAACATCGGTGTGGTATATAGAAGGGCTTTTGTCCGTTTTCTTGTTTTCCTTGCTATATCCAGATCAGCAGAATTTGAAAATAGAGGCTACATTAGTGCAGATTCGGTATTTTAATTTCGTATGTAAGGGATTCTTCGGAGCAAAATTAATAAAAGGTCACATCAAAACGACTGCTGGATTCGATTTCTTGTGTTTCTGTGCATAATTTGCGTTTTTACATTCGGTCCACATCTCTATGGTCACTGCCTTACAACAAGATCCATTGTGTGCTCTATAAGATATCTATTATATAAGGAACCCGGATGACAGACGCACAAAGACATTCTTCCAGATAACACAAGTTCTAGATACACCACTACAACCTCAACAAGAAACATCAAAAACCGTCATTCACGTTTTCTATTTACTCTCTTCTTTTGTTTTCGCATGACGACAACCAATTATGAAAACAATAAAAATAATCCGCTCAACTGCAAAGGCCCACGAATCAGCAGTGCGAGCTATGAAATGGTCCCACGACGACAATTGGATGGTCACCGCCGACCACAAAGGTATCATCAAATACTGGCAATCCAACATGAACAACCTGAAGATGATTGAAGGGCATAAAGAGGCGATACGAGATTTATCGTGCGTAAAAGTACCATCATACATGATGCATTGCTTATCAATTAAACGGATCCGAGACACCTAAAGGAACGTCTTCCTTATCTATACAGGTTCTCCCCAACCGATACTAAATTTGCAACTTGCTCTGACGACGGAATGATCAAAATCTGGGATTTCACGGAAGGCGTTGAGGAAGGAGCTCTTTCAGGTACTGAATTAAAAACGCGTTTTATATGACACTGTTGCGCTACAATAATTGTTCACCTCCGATAATTTTAGGACATGGCTGGGATGTAAAAGCCGTAGATTGGCATCCGTACAAGTCTTTACTAGCCTCAGGATCAAAGGACAATCTGATAAAGTTCTGGGATCCTAAATCTGGAAAGAATGTGGATACGTTGTAAGTAGTAGGAGATTGTCGGTTGCTGTAAAGTGACGGTTATCAAATATCAGGGCCAGTTCCGCTCATCCACACTTTTGCATCATAATAATTAGGCATGGCCACAAGAATCCTATTCTTGGGCTTCAGTGGAACAAGAATGGAAATTGGCTGGGAACCGCGGCAAGGGATCAACTAGTGAAAGTGTACGATATCCGTATGATGAAAGATTTGCAGACGTTTAGAGGACACAAGAAGGAAGTGTGTTGTAAGTACTTTTTTTTTGCAGCGTCGTCCGTTTCTTTCCGAACGCGATAAATTTCTAATGTTCAAGAACAACTGTAGCCATCGCATGGCATCCGTTTCATGAGCGGTTGTTGGTCACGGGGGGTTCAGAAGGCTCGCTTATGTTCTGGATCGTAGGGTATGTGGTTCGATATATATAACACCCCTTATGCAGCCATGATATTGCGACTGAACAACTCACTTTCGCCATTTCCGATCAGACAAAACACAGTTGTAGACTCTGTAGAATTTGCGCATGAATCCAACGTATGGTCACTCGATTGGCATCCAATAGGCCATGTTCTTGTATCTGGTTCCAATGACCATACAACACGATTCTGGACAAGACCTCGTCCCGGTGACATGGTTCAAGACAAATTCCATGTGGGTAAACAGAAAGCAGAAGAAATGGGATTGAAGGACGTGGATGTTGAAGAAGGTTTGTATTTTTCGAGGACTTTGTCTTGTGCTTTAGATATGTGCAATAGTTGATTCAAATTTTTCTGGTCCTGCAGACGATTTTGTGCCCGGACTGAATATGTTCAATGCTAATAATACGTTGAGCAATGTAGATGACTTTGTGCCTGGACTGAACATGTACAATTCAAATAATTTAATGAATGGATAGCGCGAATGAAATTTTTTAAGTTGGCTCGCTAGTAGAAGTAATGAATATAGTTTATATGTATTTGTTTATTGTTAAGTCTTTTACCCAGACCACTGGAATAAATCTCGGTTTGCAAAGGAGAACTATGTGTACTAGATAGAAGCGTTATAAAATTGATACTCTGGGGGATAACATAATACTGAATAGCATCACTTAAAATTCTTGGCCTGCTCAGTCCAGGCTGACTATTATTACTATTATCATTGTGTTGGAGAAAATACTGGAAAGAGAACATGACAAAGTATTCGACTTGTCGATTGAGACTACGCTGGATAATTCATAAATCATAACGCCTTCAACAGGCTATTAAACGAAATTAGTTGTATAACCAGATAAACTAAATGACATCAAGATAACGATTTAAAATATAGCGCGCACCAAAACTTTGGTAGTGAAATAGATATGCCTACAAGACATGAGAAAATACTACGAACAAAGCAAAAAAACCATTCTACATATTGTCAGCGTCTCATGGTTAGAAGAAATGTAATAAACGATTATAAAGAAGTGGCTTCCATTGTGTTTTTGATTCATATGCCGGTTTGTTATCTCCTAGGCGCTGAAGCTTGGAAGAGAGATATACTAATTAATTTCCTGGTGCTTACCAACTTGGTCAGGATTTTATCCGAGCATTACCATGACCTACCAGAAAACATACAGTAACTTTATCATCAGAAGAAGCAGAATTACTAAGGCGCGGTGAGTAACACCACAGCTGGCAAAAAGCAAAGGCACCGAAGGCGCACACTTCATGAAATCGAGTCCCTTTCAACGACCGGATTTTACGTGGGGAGTATATGGCACGAAAATAAAGATAATAAAGAGGGATTATATCCGTTAGTCTACTAGGCCTTCTTGTAAAAAAAAGAGAGAGTATATGAGTTGGCAAAAAGTAAAATAGAAGAGAAGAATAAGTTAAATAGCCAACACTTTGCTTCTTTATTATGGGTATCCCAAATGATTAATGAAATTTATTACGCAACCGTTGTTAATAAATGCTAAATAGTCTCTTAATTTTTCTTTGTGAGCTTTGACCAACGAATTTCTAGTTTGTAAAACCAAGTTTTCCTTCATATAGATCGGTTCGAAACCTTTTTAAACAACCTGCTTTTCTATGATTAGAATCAGAATGGTCTTCATCGGCTAATAGCTTACGCTAACTAATTTCGTTTCTTCATGAAAAGTGCCGATATCGCAGGATCCTGAAAATATTTTCACGAGACAGATTTATTGTTGAACTGCCAAAAAATATTTCAAAATAAAAAAACTAGATCCTTTTTTATAGTCGCCTTTTTGACAAGCAGTTTTGTTGCATTAGTTACTTCTTGTTGATATCGACGCATCCGAGATAATCAATGAAAAAAAAGAGGAAGTAGAACAATATCAAAGCACAACATATAAAGAAGAAGAAAAACCGAGAGTTATATTTTAGTCAGACGAGGATGCACTTTGCTCACAAGCAAACGGCCTTTTTTGCACTGAAGCATTAACTGGACAAACGAAGAGATTTCTAACCATTTTTTGCTGAACATCTCTCTGACCCCAACGAGAACTTCCCGCTCAAGCGCTCACCACAACAAACACAAGGCATTTTTTCTTACTTAGTACATCACCTTTATCTGGCTCTCCAATTGTTTAAGACATAGTTGAGCTGGATGTTCATCTGCAAACAGCTTGCGCAATGTTGTAATCTCTTTTGTAAACGAATGGTGTACACGATCTTCGCCGACATCACGTAAATGGTCCGAATACTAATTGAGACTTGGCTATTTAGTATAATGGCAGTTCCAAAATTCTAAAAACCAAGACGTTATAAACAAGGAGATTTTACGAATAAATAATATGTTTGTAAGTTGGAGAAGTGTTCATCAATATACTATACCTCTGTTCAATAGTCTCAGTAGTTTGTAAATTATTATCCAATTTCTCTGATTCCTGGAGAGAGGTCGATACTATAACTAGAGACGGGGATGTGAGATAAAAGAAAATTTTGGGAGATTAAAATATAACCGTGTACGCGCGCGTTTATTATATTCGATTAATTACCACATGATGTATCTGCATTGTTCATTGAAAAATTTTTTCATGAAATCCTAACATTGAGTAGCGTCTCTAACTTAAAGGGGTATTCTTGTTCTGACCTAATCGCAATTTGACCCAATTCGAAATAGGCACATTATCTAAATATCACACCAATTTTTTACGTGATGTTATCGGAATATTTCGAATTGGGTCGGATTGCGATTTGGGTCAGAACATTATTATAAGATATGCTCTAAGTATAGTAAGGTCATGATTTATGAAATCCTCTCAGTACGATCGAAATATTCGGTATACTATTTGACATCCTATAATTTCTCATGATTAAAGGCGTTCCTATGCATATAGACTTTTTGACATGCCAAATACATACTTTTTTCAATAAATGCCAGCAGTCAGCGCTGTCTTGAACACATTTTGTCAACACACCTTTAGTTTGCTAAATAACTAATATAACCGATTATACCAAAAATTATATGTTCTTTGCTTTTGGCGAACAAAGTTCTAAATCATCTTATTATTATAGAATATAAATTATTCAAATAAGCAACGAATAAACAATACATTTGTATATATATCCGGGGATCAAAACACACACAGACTGCCGAGTATACTCTGCATACTTATTATAAATATTAGAACATTTTCATTGTAATTATTGTCATTATCTTATCCCGTATATACTGTACCCATAGTGATTGTTTTGCTCAGTACATAATTTTCAAGTTTGTACCCCAATTAAAAGGAAGGTTAATATTAACTCTTATGTATGATTTCCGAACTGATATCTTTATTGATTACATACTACCTTGCCCATATTGATCAATGTACTGTATTAGTATATCCAAATGGTATGCTTTTCAATGTCTAATGCAAGAATCTGATCTAGACCAGGTTGTAGTGATACGACTTTGGCTGTTAGAGTACAAAGTTCTGATGCTCAAACAATCAAGTAAGGTTATAATGGCTTGACGAACACAGTCGCAAAATTAGGTTTATCAGCAGAAAAAATTGGTATTACGAAAGGCTTGGTTAAGTGGGCATCATAGCGTCCGTCAATGCTTCTTCAAAACCAGAATGCTGTGGTTCGCGTTCTCTTTCTATCGTTGTCGCCAATGACTATTACTACACAGTCAGACAGCCAAATTATGTTTTATCATAGAGGTGTTCTCTTATAGAGTTTATTCATTTACTAATAAGTCAGATTCGTCCCATGATAAAATGTTTTTATGAGAGGCCTGTTCCTTTATGGAGGTTCGACCGTATGTGTTCACCCATGGTATCCTACTTAATTCAAATTAATGCTGGTTTTGTGATGTTCGTTTCTTGACCATGGGTAAAGTTTGTATCATTACAGTTGGACTCATAGAGTTGGCCAAGAAAATGTCATTTTGTATATTTTATTAGGAGCGTGACAATTTAGTTACCATTAGTAATATAGTCGCTGTCAAACTAATAATTGATATGTAGATAGCACGACTATTAAGTTCTTTACCGGGTTTAATCCAATTAAACGAGCACCAACTACAATAGATTATTAGTTCTGAAAGAATTGATGTCAAATGAGCATTTATCAGTTGATATCTATAGTTCAAATATTGGTTACGATCGACTATTAACATTAATATTAACTTCTCCTAAACCAATTAAAAGCTGTTTCTTATCAAGAAGATCTCTGATTATCTTCAGTGGGGATCTATCGTGACATTTTTTAGGCCATGCTTATATATCGGGAGTGTTACCCGGTAGAATTTTTACTATTTTGGAAATCCCTATAAGATCCTTGTGGTACATGATATCGCCTTTGTTTTGACACAAACGTAACATCGGTCTAGCTTCGAAAAACCGCTAGGCATATACCCTAATACTAAGCGCACACGCACGAGACCATATGGCCAAATCAGACACGACCTAGATTTATATAAAACCTGCATTTATAGAGAGTGAAATACCTAATGGTCTTATAAGCTCCATTTAGGGAGGGAAAATATAATGCTTGCACTTAGAGAAGCTGCACTTGGGGAAGAGTCCACTGTATTGGGTGCTGATCAGCATGTGACATTAAATGAGCAGATCTTTCGTAAACATTTCCATAAATAGCTTTTATTATTTTTTATGTATTGCTTAATAAATGCATACAAAAAGAACTTATAGTATTGACCCTTGAGACTTCGAATAAGAGTACCTGTATTATTAAAAGAACAATAGAATTTCTATTAGATATTATCGTTATATCATGCATTCTAATTTTGGATTTTCCAATTGACTCGGCATGCAGTGCTACAAAAATGTGAATTGATGGAACAGTCGGTTGCTCTTTCTCTTTACCTCCCCCCCCAAACAATTATGGAATGCATTCACTCGTTAGCTACAAGGTTCCAAACAGTCACCCTCGAAACCCCTTCCCATACACCCTACTCTCTCGATCATTTTCCTAACGAACTTCTCTTTGCTATTCTCTCTTACATAAACCCACCCAATAAGCTCTGGATTCTGCGAAGAGTGAATAAAAGATGGAAATTAATTTGCCAACGAATTACTTACACTATCACTCGCAACTATTTCGAATCACGACCTACTTGTATACAAATGATCGTCTGTGGAATAGCAAGGACTGTGTCTTACCACGATAAGCCGATAAGCATGAATATGAAAGGAATGACTGATGAAGGGAGAATAGTATTTGAGATAAAGACGGCCAAACAAACTTTCAGGTTGTATAGGAAATCTAAATTGGCATTGGCCATCCGCAGGAAATGCTATGCGAGCGGAGTACAACCATCATCCAAAGAACATAGAGATTTATTGAGGCTAACCACCAAGCACTCTATAAATTCCCCGTTGGGCTACGTTTTAGAGTATAGCACCAGCGATAACAGAGATATGTCTCGTACACGGGAGTTCTTTTGGAAGGATGTTAGTGTGCTCCACTTTGCTGCAACCCCTGCATTAATAATGACTCATTCATTCTATGAAGAAACGTCATCTTGATATCGGGAGCAAATGACTAAAGAGGGTGACTATAACAAGGGGTGATCCAAGTAGAATAAAACTGTGAATGCAAATATTATTTGATCGAATGAAATTTTTGAGGGCTGTCCAACACGGCCGACCAATATGCGAACTATAGAAAGAGTGAATTATGAAAATATGCCAATTTTAGTAATGAATTTGTCGAGATTTCTATGTCATTATATCATATTAACAGCTCTTTTCCCCCCACGTTCACGTTTATCTAAAAAAAATACATCTTTTTTTCTGAATTTATATAATGAATTTTCTTTATGTCATATTAATTATACTTACATTTTTTGACATTAATTCCTCTATTCAACTTTTCGACTCTAAACTCTAACGAGAAATGATATGAAAAATATGCGTTGCAGGTATATCCTATATCATTATTGTTGAGAGTGAGAGTTTATTTTCTCGAGTGCAGGAAACATGCATAGTTGATATAGAGGAATAAGTTCTTTTTGTCAAGTAGATCTCTCCTTGAGTTGGTGGTATCACTGCTGCCCGTTTTATTTACAACAAGAGAAGTTTTCTATTGAAAATTGTAGTAATTCATTATTAGTAATCGGTATATATTAGCCTATTCGTTTATTTTCGTGAAGTTTGGGTTTATGCTTATTCTATCTCGAGCGTTTTATTACAAATAAGTTTACAATCAATAAATTATTATTTAAGAGCAATATTTCGATATTGTGATCGGATATTGTATTACAATACTCTTTACTTACAATTTTAAGCGTCTTTAATTCTGATTGTCGTTGCTTTCTCCGCATCAAAATATGTGCGATGATCGTTGTGGTAAAGAAAAGTAAAAAAAAAAAAAAAAAAAAGAAAGAGAGAAAGGCATAGGGTTGATATAAAGGAAGGAAGAGTATGAATGGATAAAACGTGGATGTTTGTAACATGATCACTGTAGACAATCAATCATACGATGCAATTACTTTATCCAACATTTTATCCATCAATCATATGGCATTCAAGGGTGGAGAGAGAGAGACTCTTGATGCAGCCTATTTATATTTGTGTCTTTTCTGCTGACGCTGCCACGATAGTTGAAGCGAATAGTAATAGAACTAGTAGAGAAGCAATTGTTAAGGAACATGACTTTCTAGTTATGGATAATATTATATGTAATCGTTATTGCTATAATTTTATCTGCATTTAATAATAACATTACAATTAATAATAGACCATGTTTGATATTAATATAGTATCTAATTGAACGATATCCGACGGAATAACCGGACAATATTAATAAAAGACTGCATATCCATAAGCGAGCGAATTAATTTCTTTCCACGCGACATAAAACTGAAAAACAATGTTAATTAGGCTTACCATATTCCTTTGATCGACCACGGTTTAATTGGTTTAATCCGATCTTTGTTTACATCACTTTCCATTACAATCATTGAACCCCCGCTTTATTATGTTCACCTGACTACGCACGCACGCATCTCAATGTTGGGAACGACTGCCTGAATATGTCAATACATTGAACATCACAATGTCGAGTAAAGACATTGTTGTTCGGATTGTAATTTGTGAATGACACAATGGATAGATTTACTATATTGGATTTGTTTACTGTCCACGATTGTTCTTTGGTGACGTGACGTTTTTAGCACAACGGTAATTGGTACACGAATGCACGTTTTGCCCGACAATGTGCGAGTTGGGATATAGTTATACCTAAGCAAACACACTGCCACAACACCTGACACATTGTCTTATGCGAGTCTGACTCCCAAATATGTACGCTAATATATCTGTTTGGGAAAGTCATAGACAAGCACAGGTCAGGTCATAAGGTTCGATGGGTGTCGCATGATGTCTTTGCGTCGTCTTGCAAGAAACTTCGAATATGTGTCATGTTTCTGTTGGATAAAAAAAATCAAGCTTCTTTTAATGAGGAAACGAATTTAGAAATGCTAATTTATCCTCGTCTTTTAATTACATCAGCATAGAATCACTCACTGCAGAAGAAACCATTACTATTGCTTTGTCTAATTTGCATATTCGGATAATCTTGACTTGTAAAAAAAAAATTGGCCTTGTTTCGTCTATACTATAATTAGTATTTTTTGTACGTAAAAGAAAGCGATGTGATTTTTGAAGGGGTGAATATGCAGCGTACGTAATTTCGTGTCTTTGTAATCGTCTTTTTTTCAAAATGCGCTTTTATTTATCTTCCAAATTCACTGACTAATTGATTTATAGCTACATACAGCTTTGTTATTTTTATTCTGCAGAATAATCAAACCGTTTGGCAATCATAGAGTAAGAAAGATTACACGCCCAGAACATATAAGACTCGAATGTTAGCTATAATGTCAGAATGAGTTATTACGCATTAAAACACACTTACATAACAGACTCTACGATTGAAATTGTTCCGTAAAAAAGATGGTAATTGATGATTGCTCTACGGAAGAACATGTAATTATAGTTAACGGCCAATTAACATATTAATATACAGTATTAGGAGTGTTATTCTGCGGAAATGTCTAGTAAAAAAGAGATGCATTGTGATGTAGAATAAAGACGCAAGTCTGCTTTTTACAGTTAAACCATTGCTTACGATATCGCAGCTATTAAATTTATTGGCTTGCAATTTCACAAATATTTGGCCAATCTGAAGTTTTAACTAAAAACAGCGATTTCTGACTTTTAATATATTTGTTTTGTTGAAAAAGAATTAGAACATTTGCAGTTATGCTTTCTCAGTACATTAGCCGATCTTGCAACTTGTAAGTGTTGTACCTCACCCTGTCTCAGTTTGGGACCTGTCTCAGCTCTGGACCGAGACAACTGAGCTCTGGACTGAGTGGCTGGGTTCTGAACCGAGACAGATTCTCACAACCAACTTTATAATTAACGTGCCTTTTCTTTTTTCCCCATTATTGATAAAAGGTCTAGTCCTCAAGAAACTTGTAAAAACATTGTTTCCTTACTTGCTAGGAAAATTTCATCAAGCCAATTGCTGCAGAGTTGATATCAGTTATGCTATGATAAATAGTAAGATGAGTGGTCAACTAAGCTTAATATAAGATACTGCCGTCCAACTCCTCATGTTATGGCAAATTAATTCACTTACCATTTTTTAACTCCATTAATTAGGGATCTTTTTCTCATTGGTACTCTTACTCTCGTACTATGATTGCGAATATTGCTTGGATGCACAAGCCTTAATCCTACGGCGCCCCAAGAGTTATTAGCCGTATTTTCTACATAAGGTCTTAATTACTTGACGTTCGCTTCCTATGTATACCAGGCTAAATCTCACTTCCACAGTACCTCCGTGATTGACGGTTTAGAAGTACTTTGTATCTCAGTTGGAGACCTGTCTCAGTTCTGGACCGAGACAACTGAATTCTGGGTTTGGAACTGAGTTCTGGACATTCTGAACTGAGGTAGGTCCTGAACTCGGACACAACATGCGTAGCAATCAATTGTGTGGCGTCGATATGTATATAATTTTGCCATCAATTAATAGAGATACAGTAACTGTTAATAGGCCACTAAGAATTGGTCGCAAACAGTATATAAAATTCCGATGAGGTAATTGATTATATTGTGAGCTACGTAAATGGTCCTTGATGTTGTGGTTGTGTCAGTACGTAAAAGGTTTTTCTATGGACACAATGAACAGACGCGCTGATAAGTTACACAAACTAATATCAATTAGGTAAGTATGATATCCTGTAGTAATAAAAACAACCAACCGAAAAATCTTTAATAGATAATTTGTCAGCATATTAATATGTAATGTTGCTAGAGAATTTGAGGTCAAGTATTTACATGCGCGTCTAACTCACAAGTTTACAGCAACAACAATTTATGCAGGAAATAAAAAGGGGCGTGAATATTTACGTGCGCGTCCAACTCGCAGGTACGCGGTGATGCGTACTAACAAAAGAAGCATATATTATTACAGGCTCATCAAAGTCTTTAAGAAGACAAACTGGACACTGGAACATAGGAATAAATTATTACAAAATCTTTACGTGGAAAATATTGAAGATTTGTTATTATATCGGCGAATATTCCATGAGCAATATGTAGTGACACTACCCACATACGGGAATATTATTACGCCATGCGACGAGCTTTGCTTTTCATCTAGATTAACAAAGTATTGGTTTACTTTGATGTCGATGATAATCTATGCTTATTATGTGCTGTAAATACATATTGGTATTCTGATAATTTATTACACTCGTAAAGAGTAGGACTAACATACAGTATACTGTAAGCTACTATTACACATTTGTTGAGAAGTGAAGTCAAAAAGACTTACATTATATTTCTGTCAGAAAAGGTGACGGACGTTTTCTTTCGTATAAGCACTTCTAACTCGATTTTCTATTTATACTTGGACATCCCGAGTTCTGTCTTACTAATGCACCATTTTTATCAAGAATATTTCGTATGCTAGCTAGTTGACGCCGATGTAAATGCTCTGGTGTTTTGAATAGAGGACATGTTTAACTCGGGTCCTGTTGGCAATTTCAAAGAAGATGAATGGATAATGCCAAGTTGGTGATGACCAGTCCGTCTACACGCTGACGTTATAAAGTTCCAGACGTATTTGTTAAATGTTTACCGGTATGTATAGTAACGAGTTTTAATTGGGGTTTCAATTAATTGTGGATAGGACAAGTGGCGGGTTGGCCATAAGCCTCTCTTCTGATCCGGTCAACCGGGTTTCGAGGAATTCTCGGCCTCGTCTAATGTTGTCTCCTTTTGTTGTAGCATTTGCAAAAACGAGCTGCCAAAGCTTTGACGTCCCGCTGAACACAGCCATAGGGAGAGCACTCGAAGCAAAGTATAATTATGTATCTGTTCTGGGACTGGCGATGCTAATGAAGCCGTGTGGCGCAAAGTCGCTATCTTGTAAAATCGCTGATAAGCGTTTACATGATGTGGCTTAAATGCCAAAAGTGGCTTATTTGGCCACATCATTAGTTTGCAATAACATGTAATAATAACATTATTATTATTATTATTCGACCACGTAAAAAAGCAATAACATTCTTGGTTATTTTTAAACGGCCGTTCTTTCCATGTTCGTGTGAGCATATTCTGCGGTAATGTTACCAGGTTTAAAATTATGCATTTGTAATAGAATGAATATAAAAAACTAATCAAACCCTTTTACCTTTCTCTCGTCTGCAACATAATTTATCCTCTTCTTTCGCCATCTTGGAAATGCAATATTAAATTTACGGGCTGTATTGGACTAAATTTTCAGCCTCATCAACTAGCACGATATTTCAACTCTCCCCGATTGCGTTAAATTCAGGCATTAATTACAATGCAAAGGATAACAGGTGACTTTGAGACGGTACTGTATAAAAGTATGAGACTAGTGGCTTGTGGCATTATAACAGGTTATGCAGAGTGTAATAAGTGAATATTTGTACGAGATTGAGTTATGTAAAGCATTGATACACAGAGTATGTATCTAACTACAACTGGAGTTGGAGGATTCCCGGGAATATTTTAAAGTTAAAATTAATCCTGACCTCGTGGTTGTCATCGAAATTACAAGTACGAATACTGAAGTAGCGTGCGAACATGCGGTTAATGCTTACAAGTAGTTTTTCTTACACCTAATCCATCCGCCAATTGTTTCTCTCCCTCATTCTAATTTCCCAGTGAGGTTACTGAATTCCGAGAAATTAACTGTAATAAACTTGGCAAATAGCAGTTGTTTCTCTCAGGATCGCTAATATAATATAATGTATACATGGTCATGGACAATGAGTAATTCTTTTTAATAAACCAAAGGTGTCCACTAGAATCTTTTTGGGTTATTAAAAAACCCACTATTCATGAAACGAATTGTGGCTAATTCTAGTCAAGCTGACTTTATGTTAGAACCCAATTTCTTGACAACAAAGAAAAAACAAACAATAAGTTTGGGATAACAAATAAAGCGGATAAAATTGGCTATATTAATATCAGACTGATAATAACAAAATAATTCTATTCATGGTTTTACAAGACTGATTATAGTTGGAGTTGAAGGATGTGAATGATCCCAATTTTGACACACCCCTCAAATTTTGTACTCTAAGCCGAATTGTCTAACGTTGCCCAATAACTGGAGCAAAGCCCCGCTGCCCCAATTAATCTTCTGTCAACACAATCAAATCAGCAGTCAACGTTATCAATTTTGCCGTAACACAGTCAATATTTCTGCGTCTTTTGCCCGACCACTTCTCTTTTCCTATTTTTGCACACAAGCAGTTATGTCGGGTACATACCACAGGACTCCACTTGAACCCTCATCTCACCAAAATCTCATTGACGAAGACGACTATCCTTCTACAACTCAAATTTCTTCAACCACTTCACAAGCAACGTTTCCTCTGCAGAGCCTGCAGCCGGCTGTTGCACCAACGTCTTTCAGACCACAGTATTATCAACAGAGTGAAGGCGATCGTAATTCCCTTACTTTGGCCTCCCTTAACCCATACTACAACGACGCTCCTGACGACGAAGAAGAGCACGAACAATTCTATTCTGACCAATCGGGTCTTATGCGCCAGATATCTAATATGAGTGATGCTAACTTGCCACTTACCGAACACGCTGCTAGTACCTCGCCTAACGTGACTGAAATACAAGGACTCATGGGCGGCAAATCTGGTGGCAATAGCGGCAATGGGGGTAATGGGGACGATAATGTCGGAAGAACAGTGTACATAAACGATCCAACAAGAAACGCACCACAAAAGTTTATTCATAATAAAATATCAACAGCTAAATACAATTTTGTGACATTCTTACCAAAGTTCTTATACGAACAATTTTCAAAATACGCAAATTTGTTCTTCTTGTTCACAGGTATTGTACTGTTGGTTGCATTCGAATTGAATTCTACAAGAGTATTAGTAAACTCTGTGAGAATGACTTGACTATTATTAATTGTGCCTATCACCCTCTTTAATCTGCATTCCATTCCTGCTTCTCGGTCTCCGTTGCCGATTTTTCATCGACCAATAAGCTTCAATTCAGGTATATTTACAAATCGGGCGTGCTGGATTGTAAACCAAGTCTTGTAATTCAATTAACTAGATACTCTTTTTTTCTTACAAAGCAAATTAAAAACGTATCACCGACGAACAGATATACTACTCTAGGACCATTGATCGTAGTGCTTTCGGCAACTGCATTCAAGGAAATATTGGAAGACTATGTAGGCATTCTTTTACATTTTCTCGTTTACGTTACTACAATTCGTATCAAATCGTTATCAATGGTTTATATATGGTACTTGCACATCTCACATTCCGTCGTCTATAACTTTTATTAATCTAATATGCTATTCTATGTTACTACAATTTATTTTTACCAAAGAAACGTCATAAATCAGACTCGGAAGTAAACTCTCGCGAATGCCAAGCATTACAAGGCTCGCAATTTCTTGCAAAAGAATGGAATAACGTAAAAGTGGGAGATATAGTACGCGTCGAAAACGGAGAATTTTTTCCAGCAGATTTGGTTTTATTGAGTAGTTCCGAACCAGAAGGATTGTGTTATATTGAGACAAGTAATCTAGATGGGTTAGTAGAAGGATGGGGATAATTGGGGGATATGGGTTTACGGGAAAGAGAAGCGTGCTGGTTGTTTGGCACCGACTTTTTAATGACAATTCTCTGTTATATCTTTAGAGAAACTAATTTAAAAATCAAGCAAGCACCACCAGAGACAGCAGAATCTACTTCTGCGTTAGAAATCAGTCGCCTAAACGGTAATAAGCACAATATAATTTCTTCCTAATACCTTTATCCGACTCTATCTAACCTTTACAAAACAATACGACCCCAACTGCAGGCTACTTAAAATCCGAGCAACCTAATAACAGTTTGTACACATACGAGGGGACGTTATACTTGTCAACACAAAGTGGACAGAAAAAGATTCCTTTGGATCCTACACAGATATTACTTAGAGTATGTGCAAAGGAAGCGTCTTTTAGATAATAGGAGCAAAATTCCGAAAGCTGTGAGCGGAATGCATAGCACCATTTTTACGTTATAAACAAGAAACTAATTTATGGATATTTTTCAGGGTGCTCAATTAAGAAATACCAATTGGGTATATGGACTAGTAGTATTCACTGGTCATGAGACTAAGTTAATGAGAAATGCAAGGTCTGTTGATATGCTATTGTTGTTTCCATGTTCCTCGTTCAAACTACTTACTATTCGAATGTTCTATTAAACAGTGCAACACCAATCAAAAGAACTAATGTAGAAAAAACAGTCAATGTCCAGATTATCTTCTTGTTTTGTATATTGCTAGCTATGAGTTTGGCATGCTCTATTGGAAGTGTTATTAGAGTCGTAAGTGTCGTTGTCATATATATGAATATCAAGTCGAGACAAAAGCGAAGCGAGAGTGCTTATTAGTTATTCATTTATAATATAGGTGAATTTTAACAGCGAGATGTCATATCTCTTCCTGCTGACTGATCAAACTGTCCTTGGACAATTTGGGTTTAATATTCTGACTTTTTTGATTCTATTTAATAATTTAATTCCTATAAGGTAATCCAAGGAATTTATTCTCTTATTATATGAGTATGAGTGAGATTAACTAACCTTATCTTTTTTACTCGCCAGTTTAATTGTTACAATGGAAGTCGTTAAATTTCAACAAGCGTCTTTAATAAACAACGATTTAGACATGTATTATGAGAAAACAGACACACCAGCGCTATGTAGAACAAGTAGCTTAGTAGAAGAATTGGGCCAGGTAAACATTTTGCAATTAAATGATTGTTGAGCTCATGTTCTGTCATCCTTTATTTTTTTAGATAAGTGAATAGGGCAATACGCTAACTGTTTCGTGGCTATTAATACGTAGATCGAGTACATATTCTCAGACAAGACAGGAACTCTCACGTGTAATGAAATGGAATTCCGGCAGTGTTCGATCGCAGGCATAGCCTATGCCGATGTTGTCGAAGAAAGTAAAAAAGCTCGTATTGTTGACGGAGCTGAAGTCGGGATGTACGACTTCAATCGATTGTGTGAAAACTTAAAGAACCATCCTACTGCGAACGTGATTAACGAGTTTTTGACATTGTTGGCTGTTTGTCATACGGTTATTCCCGAAAAAGACGAAAAGAACGAAACTGGAGGTATGCATATTGAGAAAAACGAGCCGATAAGAAAATGAAAATGTATTAAAAATAAAACCACTATATACATTATTCTAGAAATCGTATACCAAGCGTCGTCTCCCGATGAGGGTGCCTTAGTAAAAGGTGCTGCCAATCTAAAGTACACTTTCACGGTGAGTTTATCTATAAACAATGCGTCACATTCAATATAAAAGCTTCTATTCTCTAATTTCGTGGTATCATGTAAAAGACACGTCGTCCGAAATCAGTTAGCATAACAGCGAATGGCACTGCATATGATTATGAAATCCTCAACATCTGCGAATTCAACAGTACTCGCAAGCGCATGTCAACAGTCGTCCGCTGCTCTGATGGAAAAATTAAACTCTATTGCAAAGGTGCCGATACCGTCATCCTCGAACGTCTAAGTGAAGACAATCCTTTTGTTGAACAGACACTTCAACATCTCGAGGACTATGCCACCGAAGGTCTACGTACGCTTTGTATCGCAATGAGAGAAATATCCGAAGAAGAATACAAAGTATGGTCAGGGGTATATGATAAAGCATCAACTACCTTGGTCAATAGACAGGAAGAGCTCGATAAAGCAGCAGAGATGATTGAGAAGAATCTGTTCTTATTGGGAGCTACGGCTATTGAAGATAAATTGCAAGACGGTGTGCCAGAGACTATTCATACACTGCAGCAAGCGGGAATTAAGATTTGGGTTCTGACAGGCGATAGGCAGGAAACCGCCATTAATATCGGTTTAAGTTGTAAATTGATTTCAGAGGATATGTCATTGATTATAGTGAATGAAGAGAATAGACTTGCTACACAGCAGTTCTTGGAGAAGAAAATACTAGCGATTAAAGGACGGGCTAACGCTGATACCGAGGTATTTATTTTAGTACATTTATATACGTTTATATTTATCTGACGTTTATTGATCAACTTTTCCCGATGCGATATTTCCTATAGCCTCTAGCTCTTGTAATCGATGGTCGCACGTTGGAATTTGCCTTGGAAAAAGATCTTGAAAAATCCTTCCTTGAACTTGCCACTTTGTGCAAGGCAGTTATCTGCTGTCGTGTATCACCCCTGCAAAAAGCTTTAGTTGTCAAGTTGGTCAAACGACATCTCAAAGCAATCCTTCTTGCAATTGGCGATGGTGCGAATGATGTGTCTATGATTCAGGCTGCTCACGTTGGTGTTGGTATCAGCGGTCTCGAGGGGCTACAAGCTGCAAGATCTGCGGACGTAGCTATTAGTCAGTTCAGATACTTGAAGAAACTGTTGTTAGTGCATGGAGCCTGGAGCTATCAGAGACTGAGCAAATTGATTCTGTACTCTTTTTACAAGAACATAACATTGTATATGACTCAGTTTTGGGTAAGTTGTGAAAGAAAAATAATTATATGGTTAGGGTACCATACCATGGGTACCGGTTGAGTTGGAGTAATTAACTTGTGCAGTTATCAGGAAATTGCTTTGATATTGGTATTGACATCCGTTTTTAACTTTCCTTTGTTTTCATCCAGTTTGCATTCCACAATAGTTTCTCTGGTCAAGTTATATATGAATCATGGACGATCAGTTACTATAATGTGCTCTTTACTGTATTGCCGCCTATTGTCATTGGCGTATTCGATCAATATGTCAGTGCAAGAATGTTAGACAGATATCCTCAGATGTACCAGGTTGGCCAGACGGGCGAATTTGTAAGTATATAATTATTCACAAGAAATCGTGTTTATATGTAATGATATTAATTCTTATTCTTTCTAGTTCAATGTGAAAAGCTTCTGGGGATGGACTGTAAACGCATTTTATCACTCCCTGGTAAGGAAATCTTTGGAACGAACGTTTTGCTTGCATATGATTGTTGCTAATTTATTACAACGGCGACTGTTTTCAGGTTTTGTATTTCTGCTCAATATACATTTTCAGTAATGATCTGATGTTGCCTAACGGACTACTTGCTGGACATTGGGTATGGGGTACGACATTATACACGGCCGTTCTTTTAACCGTCTTGGGCAAGGCCGCCCTCGTTACCGAGTATGTTTCACGAGATATATGTGTCTATCTATTATTAATATGGTTAGAATAATTATAATTAATCTTCTATCAATTTAGCCTATGGACAAAGTATACGTATATTGCAATACCTGGGTCGTTCATCTTCTGGTTAGTTTTCCTTCCGATATACGCGATGATCGCACCAAAACTCGGCGTCTCGGAGGAGTACGAGGGGATTGTACCCATGCTTTTCGGCACTCCTGTATTCTACTTGACTGTGTTATTATTACCCACAATCTGTCTGCTTAGAGATTACGTATGGAAATAGTAAGTATCGGTAGTATTATATTCTCTGCTAAGACGATTCGTATTAACCATATATATTAAATGCTCTGTCTTCAATATCTAGCGCTAAACGTATGTATTCGACAAGATCATACCATACCGTACAAGAGATACAGAAATACAACATACCAGATTACAGACCACGTATGGAGCAATTCCAAAAGGCAATTCGGAAAGTGCGTGCGGTACAGAGACTGCGACGAAATCGTGGATTTGCTTTCTCACAGAACGAATCAGGACAAGTAATGTATCGAACCTACGTTATAAAAATGTGGCTACAGTCTTTCTTAGTTACAACGCGTTTATCAATTAACACACTGAATTTTCCCTTAAATAGGAGACGAGAATTATCCGCGCATATGATACGACACTTAAGAAACCAACCGGTCTCTAATAATACGCGAACTTTTTTTCACTTGTCATGTATAAAATTCATATCCAGTGCTTCAATAATTAATTTAAGTTTATTGTACATTGATCTATCATTGACTTTATTCTGTACAACATACATAAAATTTCTATTTAGAGTTGAATATTTGGGAATATAGTGTTGTGTTGGTTGAAATAACAAGTTGGTTGGTTTGTTGTACACATTTCGACTTGGCTGATACGTTTCTTGTGCAGTTTTGCAAGCTATATTCACCAGAGATGTCTATAAATGTGAACACATGTTAATAAACTCAATACAACGACTATAAACTGACCAGAATTCCCCAAAGAAATGTCATGTAGCAATTCTCATAATATGAAAGATGAGAATTATTTTACAGAAGCAAGCGTCTGAACAACTGTGTAAATGTGATATTATTTCTAAAACGGTACAGCTCTAATTGATCAAGAAGAGGGACGCGCGACTAATGAAGAAATTGAAATTTTTAATCAACTCGAAAAAACGGCCAACAGGGTACCTTGCGATTCCTTAAAATCTCTTTAACAAATGAATAAGCATGCAATTCTTCTAGCTCAAGGTTATTAGTTAGATCTCGATAGTATTTGAGAAACGATCAAATGAATGGTAATCAGCATGAGATAAAATATTGAGAGTTCAGAATGTAGTCAACTAAGTCACGCAAGTGAATCTATTATGGAGCAACTAGCCAATCGGTTATTTGGAAACAATTAAATCACTAACTATATTAGCGATTTGAGCCCTCGATTGAAAGAGCTAAATTCCCAAGGCCAATTTAGTGATAAACTTGTGAATGTACCATGTATGAAATTTAAGGTTCTTTTAGTGGTAATTGGGTAGCAATATCTGTTTATGACAAACGCATACTTATACTTATTACTTTAGTGTTAGAGCGATATTACTCAAGACGCTCTTTGATTTTGTGTCCTTTATTAAGTACAGTTAAGGTAGATCTCTAGAGCTGCTTTTTTCACATCGTAAGTATTACATGTTTGAGTTTAATAAGAACTGAAAGTTAAGAAAATTTGCTATCTAAAAAAAACAGTAAGAGGAGGGGTACAGCCTAATTGTGTCTATGATTGATTTGACAGGGGCCAGGATGCCTCAGACGCTCTTTGAATGAGCATAATTATATACATTAGCGGCCATAAGTATCTTATCCCTTCTGATTCGAGACAAGAGTAAATGCTTTGAAAATTTATCTGCGTATAGTGTATAAGTAAAGTTTCAGCTCAATCAAATGTCTCAAAACCGCATGCCGTTATTTCGAACACGAACTTCAAAAATCCATATCTCCACATGTTTCTAATTAATTTGCATGATATTTTTGTTTTGTTGTCAGATCTTTTTTATGTATTCTTGGGTCGAATCAGAAGAAAATTATTATTATACTTGGCAATAAAACTAACGTGCATAGATATCAATCAACTGCATGATCGTTCGCATTCTGTAATAGCGATCACACAGTAATCTGTTTAAAAATTACACGAATGTATTCTGATGGTGCGTAAGAATTTTTGAACTTTCATGACCGAAAATCGCGCTTGACATGATATATTTTGAGTAAAAACATTTGGGTATTTGGAAAATTTTCTGGTTGAACGTATACAAAGCATTTATCCCGGATTAGCGCTACTGTAAGAACGACCCCCCACTTTTAGGTCGATCTTTAGCTATATATAGCGGATTTTTGGTCGATCCATAATAATAACCATGAATAGCTAGTACGAGTATAAGTAGTCCACAATTCTTTGTTGCCACTTCCATCTTTAGGAAATGAAATGAATACATAGTCAATCTCGATAAGTCGGACACTCGATAATAATAAGCCAAATTTGGCTTAACTCGGGAAAAATTCGACAAGTCGGACACATATAAAATCGCGATATGTGTTACACTGAGCAATATATCGATACCCGTGGCTGGACTCAGGGAGCAAGGTTACCAATCCCAAGATTTTGAGATTATGTACGATGGTCACACGGTTCGCAAGCAAGCTCGCTGCCCAAATATTTCTGGACCCAACTTATTAAGTCTACTCAATGTATTCGCCAACGCCAATTCTAATGCTATAGGACTGCAACTTCTTCAATAACCGAACGATCCCGACCAACTACCGACCTGTTACCACAACGCGATTTAAAACTTTCTTACTGAAAAAGTTGCGGCAATTTTTGGGGGCGGTGAAAGTAGTAACATAGACATTTTAAGTAGAGTGATGTGACTTTGATTTACACATTTGTTAGCTCATTCTATTAAATTAGTTATTTTATAACTAGTTGAACTTTAATAGAGTAGAGGACTTAGAGTGTAGTCTAGAGCTGGGAGCGGAAGAGCCGAAGAACAAACTGCTGGCACAGTTTGAAATCTTTCAAAAACGACCCAACCGCTATTAAAGAGGAGGGCAACAGCGATTTGATAAGTGATTTCTGCAGTACTGAGATAGAGTAGTTCAGGATGATAGTCATTTCGCAGATCTAAGTCCGAAACATTTAATTTATTTTTGGACATTAAGTAGATTGTAAATATCAAATAAAATTTTTTTAAAAACGAACCTCAAATAAATTGATTTAAGTAATAATATTCGTCAACATAAGTCTTCACTAAGATCTTGCTGATTAATGGACTGTTCACTGAAAAAAATGTAGTTACTTGGTCGTAATAATGTGTGTTTATCTGCGGTCTTTTACTCATAATCGCTCGTTTTTTTTGCTGTTTTCGCTCTGTAATCGCTTGTTTCCACCTTTGTTTCTCGGGTACTGCTTAGCAAAGCAATTACCTTATACTAAGTAAAGCTGTTTCTTGTCCCAGAACACGCGTACACAAGGTTGTCCGGCTTGCAAATGTTCATGTTTCATCCATTTGATGTCTGAAATGAGTTTTCTAAAAAATATTGACTTGTAGGTATACAGTGCGTAACAAAAGGTTTTGGAATTCTTTATTTACTTGTTATTCAAAGATTTTATCGATATAAAATTAATAATTTATTCTTTCACAATTAATTAGAATGCGCCTTATAGCATATCGACCTTACTTTTTTCTTCTTGTTGCATATTTCGCTATCAAAAATCGTGTAGGCAACGGAGGAACTCAAACGGTTTAAGAGTTTTGATGAAATGCCGGAATTATTTATTGCATTTGATATAATAATAATTACCTAATGTGATATTAATCTGATGCCATATTGATTTTCATTATATTTTGGGTAGACTGCAACAAAACTGAACATTTGGACTATGTGATAATGCGGCTGAAAAATTAACTAAGTGACTAGTTAGTATGATTAGAACTTATTACTATATCGTGTGACAATGGAGAGACAACAAAGAATGTAGGTACTCGTACTATTCGTACGAGCTAGTCGAAAATAAATAATAACAGAGGTATGTTAAAGCATCAATCACAGGGGCAACAATCAGACAATATGATTTGATGCAATTGTTCCACAACGTGAGATGCGCAGCAAGATATAAACGCGCACACGTTCTTCCGTCTCTCACAATTTGACATGGACCTAGATGACGTTCCTGATTGGTTTTTTCGTCAGGTTTTAAAGGGGAACAGAAATGCTACAGATGACGATATTATTAAGGCATATCTAGAGCAACAAGGTATGCAAGCAATGAATACACGTTTATTGGGAGGACAGTTAGAAAGTTATCAACGCTATTGCGAGAGAAGCAGTTGGGGTGTCATTAGTTGGGCAGAGCTGCGTCGTAGCAGAGCTAGCTTATACATTAACCCGTTTCAAAGGAGACAAGAGACATTATGGGTTAACAGAGGGCAACGGGGGTTCGTAGAGTAGCCATTGCGAGAGAAGCAGTTGGGGCACAGCTGCATCGTAGCAGAGCTAGTTTATACATTAACCCGTTTCAAAGGAGACAAGAGACATTATGGGTTAATAGAGGGCAACGGGGGTTTGTAGAGTAGCCATGGGGTCAACAGAGGGAGAATAGTTCGAATTATAGCATGTAATGCTTTCTGCGAAGTTAACTAATTCTTACTCCATTACTAACTTTTTGGTTTCTGTCTTGTTAGCAACGAGCAGTTCACGCTTTCCGGTGACAGCCAGCACGGGTTTGTTCTTGGTCTACATAGCTACTCCTAAACAACACAGAGACTAACAGTTGCTTTTTTTTCTCTTCTCTTCTTCAGTTCTTGATAAAGCTTTCAAAGTCCCGTTTCAACAAGATGTGAACTATTTGGCCAAGCTGGACCAGCAAATTCATGCAGTTGCCAATGGTGGTAATGAATTTTACAACTATTTGGCTATTGTACAGTCCTCAGGATATGGAAAAACCAGAGCTGCCCTTGAGCTAGCTAAAACACATCCCCTTATATATATATGTCTCCGCAAGGAGGGCTCAACTGGATACCCACCTGCAACTCCGCAGAGTAAGGAGTTGTTGAAAGATCTATGGTCTTCTGATTTCCCATATGCTGAAAGGATTGCCTTGTCATGGATTTGGTCTATGATCAGGACATATTGTCAGGAAAAAATTGGCAAGAAAACTTGCTGAACAACCTGGTTAAATATATTAATATTTAGTTTGTTGCTAACTGTCATTTCGAGGTTACTGACTTCCCTCTTAGCAAACACAGCATGAGTTTTGGAACTCTGTCAGTCAAAATCGTGATAATAACAAATGTTTAAGGAGTGTAAATGAGAAGATAATCCTTTACTTTGATGAGGCATCTGCTCTTCTTGGTAAAGGTCTGTTCTTATTTTCAATATTCTTCAATTTTAATCATTGACTTATTATTATGGGATGATTACAGGTACTGGTTCTCAAGAGAAGAATCAGGCTTTCAGAGCCATTCGTCGGGCACTATGGGAATGCAAGCATGTGGCTATAGGTATCTTCACTGATACTAATTCATCAGTTGCGAACTTGGTACCTTCAAAAGAACATGATCCTTCGGTATGTAATATTAATATCTTCATGCATTTTGTTTTCTCTTAAATATTCATCAGACACTGGTTTTCAGACAAGAGATACAAATCGGGATCTTCATAAACCATTCATCTATATTAATATAGCAACAATGGATTGTTTACAGTATGCTAATTGGATAACATATTATGATTCATTACTTATTATTGCCATATGATCATGACTTATTGAGTATTTTTGAATGTAGTAATTCTATCCCCCATCTGGAAAAAATCAATCCAGCTTATGATATTGTTCGGTTTGGTAGGCCACTCTGGGGCTCTCAATGGTCAGGTCAAACTGCTGAAACTGACCAAGGCAGATTTGATGAAATATTACATCTTGCAAAATCCAAGCTTACTGGGGGAGTACTTAAGTGGAGTGAAATCCAGGAAGATACTATCAGACAAAGAGTTGCCCTTGCTTTGCTTGCTTGCACAGCTGCACTTTATGTTTCTCCAACATCAAGTGTTGCACCTGAACTTGTAAAATCACATATGGCTACACTGGTAGCTGTTGATGATGAATGTGAGCGGCACCTTATTACTTACCCATCAGAGCCTTTACTGCCTGAAGCCTCAATGGAACTGTTATCAGAAAAAGGTGTGGAAATTGTGGTGCTAAAGGAATTAGAAGCAGTGTACAAATCTGGGGGCATTCTCAATGCAGGTGATCAAGGGGAGTTGGCAGTGAAGTTGTTGCTTTTGGGAGCTTGGCGCTGCCTCATTTGCTCTGAGAGACACACCAACAAAAGGGTTTTATTCTCTGCTCGCCAACCAGTTATGGCATTTCTTCATGAACTTCTTAATCCAGATGGACTTTCTAGAGTTAAGCTTCTGTGATGCTACGTTATAAACAGTGATGTATTCTCTCCTAAATTTCTGCATTTCTCTGATGGTGCAGTAACACAAGTCATATGGGAATTTATATCGCGGTAGTACAGCACCACTGCCGCACCACTGCCGCACCACTGCTGTATCACTGCTGCACCACTGCAGCAGTGCTGCAAAAGTCATAATTGAAATAGTTGCTAAGAATAGA